CTCTGGGAAAAGACTGTTGATGACATGGAATAAAAGAAATCAGGAGAGGGCCACACTGCTGGGGACAAGGCAAGAGGTTCAGCTACAAAGGACAGATGTAATCAGGAAGAGGAAATATCACAGAAAGAGAGCAGGGTCACAGAGATGCTAACAGAGAGACTGCATGGTGCTGAACTGGGCTACAGTTGGGGAAAGGGAGCAGATAAGATCATGGCCACAAGGCAGAGACAAGTCTTCTGCCCATTGGAATTTCCAATTCAGAGTCTATGCCCATTCCCTCTCTTGAGCAAGAGAGAGATGGGACAAGTTGCAGCTGGAGTGATTTGGGAGTCTGTCTAGCAGGTGAGTGTAATCAGTCCCATGTGTGTCCACTGGGAAAAAGTTGAGAATTGCTCCTATAAAAAGTGTAGTTGTCTGGTTACAATTTACAACAGAGAAGTATTTGCAGTTTCACAAAGTGTTTTCACATACCTTACCTCCTTTCTTACCCCAAACAATCCTGCTGTATTCACTGAGGGCTACAATCCACAATAAAGTCAAGAGAAAGTAACTTTCCAAGGCCTCCCAGCTGATCAGACAGAGCCTACGTGGGGATCCAGGTTATCTTCCCAAATGCTTGGCTGACAACTCTAAACTCTGACTTTGGAAAGTGCAGGAAGGAACCAGGCCAAAAGGTATTCAGAGTGGTCATCTATCTCCCCATCTGGCTCTTATCTTCACAACTGAGCCGTATGGTATCACTGAACACCAGGTATCCAAAATAGGACTGTGAACTTGAGCAACCCCAAAACAGTCACCAGACTCACTCTTCCTCTGTTACAGTGGCTCTCAGACCTTAACATGTACCAAAATATTCTGAAGGGCTGATTAAAACACAAATTGTTGGATTCCATACCCAGAGTTTCTGATACAGCAGGTCTGGGTAGGAGGTGCTGCTGATGCTTGCTGGCCCTAGGCCCACCCTTTGAGAACCACTAATCTGTGACATAACAGGTATCTTCCCTTAGAGACTCTGGAATCTTTATTGGAAGTAGAAAGGATGAGAGGGCTAGAGGACAAACTCAACAGAAGCTGGTTTTCTATGAGGCACAGGATGGATAATCTAGTAAAGAAAAGAAGTAACAAGGTAAGATTGAAAACAATCTGAAGGAACCAGTGTGATATGAAGTAGAGGACAGAATGCTGTGGTCCAGCTAGTGTTTCTTCATTTTTCAGATATGTATCTCAACTTTTACTATGTCCATGTACAATCTGCATTATGATATACTTACAGATTTTTTTAATTTGACTTATTTTCCTCACATATAATTTACTTTTATCCTAAACAAAAATAAAATAATAGTAACAACTTATAAGTATGCCAGTACTTATAAGTATGCCAGGCACACACACATATATTTATACATATATGTTCACATGTACATACACACATGTGCACACATATGTCTACATATTCATTTAAATCCTCACGGCACACCTCTAAGGCAGGTGTATTACTATCTCCATTTTTTCAAATGAGGACACTGAGGCCTGGAGAAGATGAGGAACCCCACCCAAGGTCACACAGCTAACAAGTAGCAGAGCCAGGATTCCAAGCCACACAGCTGGCTCCAGAGTCTATGCTCTTAACCCCTGAAATTTCAGGTTTAGTGAATTAACTATAGGTTAGGTAACTTGTCAAAGAACACATAGCTAGTAATGGGATGGGAATCAAGATCTGGATATAAGTATGGCTCTGAAATCTGTGTGTTGAAGTCCTGCACACGGTCCCATTCAGGTTGCAGTTGGTGATGGCAGTGAAGGAGCTGCTGAGCTGGGACAGGATTGTCTATAGGAGCTTGCAGCTCAGCCTAAAGAAATCCTGGAGAGAGGGTCCTTCTTTGAGTTGAGCATGAGATGCCATCCTGCCTTCTCAGTACCTCTCAGCCTTTAGTCAAATGACCCAAAGCTGACTCTCACTAATACATATCATGAAAATAACTGTTTCAAGTTTTCTTTTCAAATATAAAATTATATTAAATACGCTTTTTTAAAGTGCTTACTCCATACCATCCCATACATCCTCTCCCCAAATATCCCCACTATCCTTGGCTCTTTGGAGATACTAACAGGAGTAGTCAGCCAGTCCTAGGAAACAAACACTGGCCTATAGGAAAGTTTCTTAAGACTCTGCAGGGCAGAGTAGAGTCTCTGTCTTCAGTATGATTCCCTGATGGCCCAGGAAAGTGCTGGGCAGGGATGTGGGTGTGTCTTGGAGCTGTGGGAGCTTACTGTAAAAAGGGGAAGGGGGAAGAGGCCAGCTGGAAAAAAGGAGGAAGCACTCAACTATGCCCCAGTTTGGTCCTCCCAAGCCAGAAACTCCTCCTTCTCTTCCTGTTTATAAAGGCTTAACACCTGGGGAGGAGCAAAACAGGAGTGCCCCTTAGGTGACTGAGGCAGAAAGGAGGTAACAACGGGGTCAAAAGTCATGGGAACCAATTGCGATTGGGCTCCTCCAGGATCAAGGTTTCTCAGTAATAGTCACACCCTGCAGTGCTTCCTATGTAGGAAAGGGTGGTGAGACAAGATTCAAGGAGGAAAGCAGCACTCTCCTTTCCTGACATTTCCTTGCCAGTGAGTGCCATTCACTCAAATCTGGAATGTTATGAACATCTATAGAAAACAATGTAAACTGACACAAGTAAGGTTAGTCAAGAGAAAAGATCAGTGTCTTCCTTTTTGCTCCTCTTCACCCAGACAGCAGGTCTGAGCAGAGGTGGAGGGGGAGCAGTGAAGCCTGGAGAGAGAATGGAGGGATAACTAACAAACAGCAGGTCCTCCTAAGGGTCTCTCCATCTTCCCCTGAGACCTGGGGAAGAACGAGGTTCTGACAGACAATGCAGTGAGATGCACTTGCACTCCAACAGGTCACCAGTGGGTCTTCAAAAACCACAAGTCGGTTCATTTCAATTCTGTGCCTAAACTCTTCTATGGTTTCCTGTGACCTTGATAATAAAGTTCCCACTCCTGGCCTTGGACTCTAGAGCCCACCGTGATGAGCTTCCCTCCTACAGTCATGTCTCTGACCTCTCTTCCCCTCACACCCTCTCATGCTCATTTTGCTTGGCCGCACTGGCCCCCTTTCAGTTTTTCCATCACTCCATGCTCTGTGTTGTCCCAGGGTCTTGGGACAAAGGGTCTGGTCTGTCCAGGGTGCTACCCCCGACCCCCACCCCTATGTATGGAGCATGTCTTCAGGGCTCTGCTCAAGTTCCACTCCCTAAGGAGCACTTCCTACCACTCAGCTAAGGCACCCACCTGCCATCCCAAGCTACTCCATTAGATTCTCCTATTATATTTCTGTCATAAAAGGTGCCACAACAATAAATTACCCTCTATATTCATGTAGATACTATTTTATCTCCCCACCCACTGGAATTTAAATTCCATGATGGTAAAAACTGTGGCTCTCTTGTCTGGTGCTCTAAACCCATTCATTCATGAAAAGATGAAATACATGATCTTATTGTCCCTTTGCCTCCAGCTACCCAGTCTGAGAGACTGTCAGTTGTAACTGAGGAGAGTAGGGTTCTCCTGGACCCTCAGAGAGAGGACACTGTGAGGGGAGAGGAGGTAGCACAGAGACCAGGGCTAGCAGACTGGGACAGACAGGATGTGTGGGAACAAGAGCTGAGCCTGATTCCCTAGACAGCGAGGAGCTTTGTAGTGCCAGCTAGACTCAGAACATTTTTCTGGGCTGACTGGAGTCCCTAACCTTGGAAGCCAGTAGCCCAGTTTCTATGAAATGTACTTCACTGGCTGAGGAATGCCATGTGATGCAAAACTGGAAAGATTAACCTGCTTTGACTAGTTCATGCCGGGAAGAGAACAGGAACTTGATGAACTTGCCATGAACTTGAAATAGTCCATAGTCTGGGGTGGAGGTGGGGAGGAAGGGAGATGAAGAAAGAACAGAAGGAAGGGGTAAGAAACAGCCAGAGAGTAAATAGAAAATACAAGAAAGGATCCTCAGAAATACTGGGTGCCTGGATTGTCTATGTAAAGAGTGGCCTGGGAAAACAGTCAGAACTTGAATGCAGAAAGATGATTAGATTTGCAGGGGCAGAGACTTGGGGAGAAGCAGAGCAACTGGCTGCCTCCAAATGCCCTTCTTTTCTCTGACAAGTGACTCCTGTGGATGAGGGTTCTATGACCATAGACAGAACAGCCATCAAGGTGCCTTCAGGCTTACATACCCTCCCAGAAGCCTGGAGACTTTCCCTGGGAACACTGTGGGAAGCACCCTGACCATTGTTTGTGTCTGGGAAAGAGGGATGCTGGAGTACAACAGATGGCACTCGGACTTCTAGAGGACTGACTAAGTGGAGGGTGTCACTCTTGGGAACAATCTGCCGGGTGGCAGCAGTGAAGAAAAGCAGATAGGATCAGAATGTGGATGCAGGTAGATTTTACACTGGTGCCAAGCCAGACAGGAGCCCCAGGTAGTCGGTCCATCTGTAGCCATGCCAGGAACACCTCTCCACTCATCTGGTCCTGTAAGTCTGTAGTTCTCAAAAAATGTGTTGAAACACACTGGTATGTGGCAACCAGAGGCAAGAAATAGAAGTCAAAGGTCCCTGGTAATATTGAAAGGACCAGGGTCTGTGAGTTTCAGTAAACAACACAATGAGGGAATATAAGGTAAGCTGTTACAATGTCAGTTTAGGAGTATTTCATTGCACTTTTTAGAGGGAGCGAGGTGAAACATTGCAGATTAAAATTTCACAGGTCATGAGAGTAGCAGGTTCTGACATAGAATCCCTCCTTGGGTGCCAGAAAGTTGTCCTCTCCCTTTCTCACTTTCTGTGGTTCAAGCGGAGCTGATCCCGGCCCTCAGTAACATGCTATAGGCATGTGGGTCTGGCCAAACTACTCTGAGCCAGCAGGGCCAGCCTGGAGATCTTGGCTGGAACCTCAGGACAGGAGACATTCTCTCTGCTCAGGCTGTAATCTTAAATGGCCAAAGGCCACTGCATGGCAGAATCTAACTGAAAAAAGAGCTAAGTTCTTTTTTTCCCTCAAACTAAGTTCACCTTCTTCAGGAGGGCCTGAGAAGCCTCTGAGAGGATATGAATCTGACACCGGTACAACTTGCAGATGGAAATGTTTAACTACTGATCTTTATGTGGCAGGAGGGTACTTCTGAAACTTCAAAATCCTTGTAAGAACATTTCTTTTTTTTATTTTTTTTATTGATTATGCTGTTACAGTTGTTCTATTCCCCCTTTATTCCCCTCCACCCTACCCCTCATCCCCACCATTACCCCCCCTTTAGTTTATGACCATGCGTCTCAAGTCCTTTAGATTCTATATTTCTCATGCTATTCTTGCCCCCCCATCTATTTTCTATCTACTGTCTATGCTACTTATTTTCTGTACCTTCTCCCCCATCTCCTCCTCCCACTCCCCTGTTGCTAACCCTCCTTGAGATCTTCATTTCTATGTTTCCACTCCTGATCTAGCTGTCCTTGTAGTTTGCTTTTGTTTTAGGTGTGGTTGTTAATAACTGTGAGTTTGTTGTCCTTTCACTGTTCATGCTTCTTTAACTTCTTTTTCTTAGATAAGTCCCTTTAACATTTCATATAATAAGGGCTTGGTGATGATGAACTCCTTGAATTTGATCTTATCTGAGAAGCACTTTATCTGTCCTTCCATTTTAAATGAAAGTTTTGCTGGATAGAGCAATCTTGGTTGTAGGTCTTTGGATTTCATGACTTGGAATACCTCTTTCCAGCCCCTTCTTGCCTGTAAGGTCTCTTTTGAGAAATCCGCTGACAGTCTGATGGGGACTCCTTTATAGGTGACTGTCCCCTTATCTCTTGCTGCTTCTAGGATTCTCTCCTTCATTTTGATCTTGGCTAATGTAATTATGATGTGCCTTAGTGTGTTGCTTCTTGGGTCCAACTTCTTTGGGACTCTCTGAGCTTCCCGGATTTCCTGGAAGTCTATTTCCTTTGCCAGATTGGGGAAATTCTCCTTTATTATTTGTTCAAATAAGTTTTCCACTGGTGGCTGTGCCTTTCCCCCTTCTGGTACCCCTATAATTCAGATGTTGCAGCGTTTAAAGATGTCCTGAAGGTTCCTAAGACTCTCCTCATTTCTTTGAATTCTTGCTTCTTGACTCTTTTCTGTTTGGCCATTATTTGCTTTCTTCTGGTCCACTCCATTGATTTGAGTCCCAGTTTCCTTTTCATTGCTATTGGTGTCCTGTGCAATTCCATTCATTTCAATTAGTTTCGCCTTCATATATTTGTCTAATTTGTCGGTATAATCAACCTGTTCTGTGAGGATTCTGATCACCAATGTTTTAAACTTTGTGTCTGTGAGTTTTGCTATTTCTTCATCGCTTAGATCTATTGGCTCTGGGGCTCTGAGATCCTCCCGTGCCATTCTTGGTCTGTTCGGGCCCTTTAAGTGTGAGAAGCAGCGCCTTCGATTCCCAGGTCGCTGGGTTGTGACGCTGTATGTGGGGGCGTGGCCAGAGCGGGGAAATGGTGACCCCCTCTGCCGCTTCTCACAGCTGGGTGCCGAGCAGTGCCTTAGGTGGTTCACCTGGGCTGGGCCACTCAGAGTCGCTGGGTTATGACGCTGTATGCGGAGGTGGGGTCAGAGCAGGGAAATGGCCGTGCCCTCCACTGCCGCTTGCTGTGGGGACCTGCCGGCCCGGTCCAACCACCCACATCCTCGCCTGTCCACCCGCGCACAAATGCACGACCTCAGTCAACACGCAGCCCCGCTGCCCCGCTGTCTCCCCCGCGGTCGCTCGCCTCGTCGCTCGCTCGGTTCGCTCATTAGGTCCGACCCTGCGCCTGGATTCCGCGGGCCTGAGTCCGTCTGGCCAAGTTTTCCTGTGCAACCCTGCTCCGCCAGCCACTGGTTTCGCCCCTTACCGGTCAGGCTGAAGAATTTGTTGTTAACGGACTTCCGAAAAGTTCAATTTTCCATGTTCTGGCTATGTTTTCTGTTGCTAATATTTAGTTTTCTCTAATCTTGGTTGTGTGAGAAGGCACGGTACATCCACCTATGCCTCCATCTTGGCGGAAGTCCGTAAGAACATTTCTTATCCAGGAATGGTAGAAGTGGCTAGTCTGAGGTGTCTAGAAGGGGGACGGGACCAGTGAGGAGTTAGGAGGTTCAGGATAGGAAATCTAACAAGCAGGATCCTTACTCCATCAAGGAACTTCACTAATGGTTTGATTGGGAAGAGGCATCACCAGATTTTTCAAAGAAGCAAATGGTAGAAACTCAGTTAGTTAAGCCTGGGGAAAGGCACCCAAAATCAGGAAGGTACTTTGTTCTAATTTTTTCTTAAGCAGAACATTTTCAGGGAGGTTCCCTTGATTCTACAATGCTCTTCAACTATGACAAGCTTAACAATCTCATCCATGTCATTAGCCCAATGCATCCTGGTAAAAGTATATTTCCAAGGCTCTTTGCAACTAGGTGTGGTTATTTGACTAAGTGCTGGCCATTAAGTTATTAGCAGAAGTGTTGTGTGGAACTTCTAATAAGTGTATTAAATTGAGAAGAGATGAACACTTCTTCCCTTCTTCTATTCCACTGCCAGGAGCACAGATATAATGGCTGGAGCTTCAGTTTCCATAGTGGGCCATGAAGATAAAGGCTACCCTAGAGTTGACAGAGTAGAAAGCTAGAGGGGGACAAGTCTTGAAGTCTTCCTGGGACTGCTAAAGACACTTATGGATTACATATCTCCGGGCTGCTTTGGTATGACAGAGAAATATAATTCTACCTTCTTTCTGCCTCTATGACTTGGAGTTGCAGATAGAAATGTTCTATTATGTGCAGTGGAATCTAGTCCTAACTGATTGGAGTTTCAGTATATATCACCTTTATAACAAACTAAAATTTCTACCTTCAGTTTTTTATGACATTTTAAATAGAAGTTTTTAAAAATGAAATTAGAATAATTTGAAGCAAAAGAAAGCAAAAATATCACTAAAGCAACCACTAATTTGGCCCTCTTCTTCCCTTTTGTTCTTCTCCTTGTATCACTTATTTTCTTTCCAGCATTTATCATGATTAGTATCCCTCTCTACGTGGCAGAATTGGAAGAGTGGTGATCTCGGCCTGTGAGGGATGTTGACTGAGAGGGGCACAGAGGAGCCTTCTAGGGCACTGAAAATAATTTATATCTTGACGTACATGGTGGTTGCCCAACTACATACATATGTTAAGGCATCATATGTATGTGTATAGGTGTATGTGTGTACTAAGATCAGAACACTCTACTGTATGTATGTTACACTTTAATGAAAATAATTTATAAAAATTCTCTCTAAAATTCCATACCTTTTTATGGCCACCATAGATGTTTATTCTTAGAAATACTTTTCCTATATTTTCAGTTCAAGAACTACATAAGTTTGGTACTCTCCCCTTATTCCTTACCCAGTTTTGTCAATTGGGAAAGTGCCCAGGTAATAGTCACATGCCCAAACACACTTGCAGCCAGGAGTTGTCATGACACATAGTGCTAGCCAGTGAGGAATAAGCAGAAGTCTGTTGGGTAGGTCTTTTAGAAAAGCTATAGTTTTCTCAATTAAAAAAGGGATAATATGGGTGATGATGATGGGTCAGTGTAGATTCATCAAGTGTAATGAATGTGGCGCTCTGACAATGGCAGAGCCTATGCACATGTGGGGTCTATGGGGAGTCTCTGTGCTTTCTTAATGTTGCTGTGAACCAAAAAGTGCTCTATAAAATAAAATATGTTGAAAAACATTTGAAAGACAACTTTTCTCAATATCACGAAATGAAAAGCCAAAAGTGGGGAGGCAGAAAAGCTAAGAGGAGCCGGCTTTGTGGAGGACTGCTCCTGAGCAGCTGTACCAGCCGTGGATGCCCTATTTCCTTTACATGACATGAGAAAAAGGATGTGTTCAAGCCTCTGTGATTAGAGTTTCCTGGCCCATTGGGCAATCTGTGACTGAGATGTAAAGGTTTTAGTTTTACACATGGCAAAAACTTCCTGGGACGCAAGGGGACTCTCAGGTGCTAATTCACTGTGGCTTGGCAAGGGCCCAAGGCAAAAAAGGGGAACCCCATAGACATCTTCCAAATGCAACCTCCATCTGCATGCTCCTGTGACCCTTTCTCTTGATAACAGTCTTCACGCTCTCTCTGGGAACTGAATTCTTCTGGCAGAAGGAGCTAGGGGAGAATGACTCAACATGCAGAGAACCTGGGTTCGTAAAACTTCTGAGAGCTAGTAGTAGAGTATTACATCACTGCATCACTGTTTCTCAATCTTTTTAACCAATTTCTACTTTTGATAAACACAAACTGTATTTTCTATAGTTTGTGTTAAGAAAACCAGGGCTTTCCCCTCTCCTGAAAAATTCCCAAACATTTTCAAACCACATGAACTACCATTCTCCTCACCCAGGAGCTTCTGATAATCTCAGCACACCTCTTGAGACTCAATGATCTAATCTGAGTTTCTATAGAGTCTGAAAACCTGACAGACACCCTGGTAACTCCAGTGATACCACAACTAGTGGGGGAAGTCACATGTGTGACAGAAGCAGGTTAAGGGAGAAGAGCAGAGGGAGGGCTTAGAAAAGGAACAGAGAGCATACAGTTTTGCACTAATTTGGCTCACCTTTGGCACCTGACTGCAGGCACATCCAGCTTTACTAAGGGAGTCTGTACCACTTCCATTTTCAGAGGCTGTCTTGTCCATCTTCCTTCGCTCAAGGTCGACACTAAAAAGCAGTACAAAGGTGGCCCGAGACCCTTTGGTGAAAAGCAGTCCAAAGATGAAAGCTACCCAGTGGTCTGGCCTAAAAGCTGAGTGTGTGTGCCCAAGGGGACGAGGCAATGAGGGGTGGGATTTGTTTTTCAGTCCAGTTCCTGGTCTGAAGTTCAGCTCTATGTAGATAGCAAGTGGAGAAGGGGCTATAGATAGCAAGGAGAAAAGAAAAGTTCAGACAACCTCTTAAAGATTTTAGTAATAAAGGAAGAGTCTCCTCCCAAGTTCTTATTTCCATTTCACAATCAAATCTAGATTCTTATAAACATTCATGCTCATAAATGTTAAACAACACTGTGAATCTAGTAGGAAAAAACAGTAAATGGTGTCATCTCTATTCTCTGTGTATTCAAACTTTTTAGAGACACTGAAGGAGGGACCAATGA